CTCATGCGTTTCTACAGAACGCGAGATTTCGTGGCGGATGCGGTCAGCAGATAAACGCGAGACTCTTTCCTCATGCGTTTCTAGAGAGCGCGTGATTTCATGTTGCGTGCGATCAGCAGACATACGCGACACCGTTTCCTCATGCGTTTCTACAGAACGTGAGATTTCGTGGCGGATGCGGTCAGCAGATAAACGCGAGACTCTTTCCTCATGCGTTTCTAGAGAGCGCGTGATTTCATGTTGCGTGCGATCAGCAGACATACGCGACACCGTTTCCTCATGCGTTTCTACAGAACGTGAGATTTCGTGGCGGATGCGGTCAGCAGATAAACGCGAGACTCTTTCCTCATGCGTTTCTAGAGAGCGCGTGATTTCATGTTGCGTGCGATCAGCAGACATACGCGACACCGTTTCCTCATGCGTTTCTACAGAACGTGAGATTTCGTGGCGGATGCGGTCAGCAGACAAACGCGACTCTCTTTCCTCATTTGTTTCTAGAGTGCGCGTGATTTCGTGGCGGGTGCGGTCAGCAGACAAACGCGACTCTCTTTCCTCATTTGTTTCTAGAGTGCGCGTGATTTCGTGGCGGGTGCGGTCAGCAGACAAACGCGACTCTCTTTCCTCATTTGTTTCTAGAGTGCGCGTGATTTCGTGGCGGGTGCGGTCAGCAGACAAACGCGACTCTCTTTCCTCATTTGTTTCTAGAGTGCGCGTGATTTCGTGGCGGGTGCGGTCAGCAGACAAACGCGACTCTCTTTCCTCATTTGTTTCTAGAGTGCGCGTGATTTCGTGGCGGGTGCGGTCAGCAGACAAACGCGACTCTCTTTCCTCATTTGTTTCTAGAGTGCGCGTGATTTCGTGGCGGGTGCGGTCAGCAGACAAACGCGACACTCTTTCCTCATGCGTTTCTATAGAACGTGAGGTTTCTTGGCGGATGCGGTCAGAAGACAAACGCTGTCCTCTTTCAGAGTTCGTCTCTTCTGATCGAGAAAACTCGTGGCGCCTACGATCAGAGCTTAAACGAAACTCACGTTCTCCCCGAGTTTCCCCAATTCGTACTTCAGTTTTGCGAGACCGGTCAGCACTCAACCGACTTTCACGTTGAACACCACTTTCTGCAGATCTTGACGCGTCGTTACGGCGTCTATTAGCATCAAGGCGCGATTCGCGGTTAGCAGCAGTCTCTTGAGATCGAGAAGTTGCTCTTCTAGAACGTTGCAGTGCTAGACGCTCTTCTCGTTGCTGTTGATTTTCTGTAAATATTCTCAATCGTACTCGTTTGGCTTGAGCAGAAGCCGACGATAGGTTGGAGCGTTTTCGGGAAGGCATTATAAATATGTATTGGGTATGAGTATATATTTAACACAGTAATGCCCGAATTATTTGTTTGCTATTATTATTTACTGAAATAAATGTAGTTTTTAGTACTATAACCTGAAATATCTATACATATTGTGGCGAATACTGCGGCAACACAAAGCGAACAACGAGAAATAGGCAGAATGTTCGAAGAATGACGTAGAATGTTCCACAAAGAGAAACGTCAAGTTGGATGAACACTGCGAACAGCGAGAGAAAGAGAATGAGCGATAAACTTCAGAATGTTCTNTTGAAAACAGTTTCAACTGATGTATTGCTAGAGGTGTAACTTAAAATATAAGAACGAAAAAAATTACAATACGACACTTGCGACACCGTTGTGAATACCCCAAAAGTTATATTGCAATACGCTTTTGAGAAGAAAGCGGTTTTAGAAGGCTTAGATGTTGCAAATGGGTATACAACTGAAGAGGTTTAGAAAAGTTTACTGCCGAAAATATTTTTTAAGAAAAATTGTATTTAACTTAATTGAATAAATAAATGAAATATTACAATACGGGTATCAAATAACACAAAAATACTTTTAAGGCGCAGTGAAGTACGCCGGGTATTTGCTAGTGATGCTATAAGAAAATGTCCATTCTTGTTTATTAAAAATTAGTTTTCGCTAACTAAGGAAAGAAGAAGAAGGTGGTTTCGCTAGTATATGAACCTTCAATACGATTCAACATACAGAAAATCAGCCAAAAGCATAGGAGATTTTCTAATTTTTAGCATACTTAGGTATGAAAAAGCTAAAGCTGGAACTCCCAAGCATGCGTATTCTAATTCGCGCGTTTGACAATTGTTTTGAATACAAGCATTTATGTGGCAGCAGGTACATACATAGCAACGCAAGCAAACGGAAAAATTTGCTTGTATTTCAAGCTACAACTCCAAAGCATACGTACAAATACATATAGCGGGAATTAAATATTTTGCAGTAATAAAATGAATTCCATATTTCCAGTTAGACCTCTACAAATATGTACATTGGTTAACTGCATTTAATTCCATATATTATTCCAAAATTCCAAAAATTGCTAATTTGGGTTGTATGAACTTTTCTTTAATATCTATTATGTACAGATACCGGCCTGGTACAATTTTATAATATTTACTGAATACTGAAATAAAAGCAGGATTTGGAGTTGCTCGACTATTTTCATTGCACTAAGTCAGCGAAAGCAGACAGCAAAAGCGAAAAGAGACATGTTTTTGCTTAGACAGTCAGCCGAAGCAACCAATGCTGTTGCTGATAGCAGTAAGGTCGGCGTTATGCAGACAAACTTTTGTTTGCCAAATTAAATGGCGACTGCTTAGTTTGCTCGGAGGTGGTTATTTCGAGTTTGGCACGGGGTGGCACGTTCATTATGGTTTTCATGGCTATTGCCAACACGAAATGAGAATTTCAGATGTACATAACGCGCACAATTAATATTTTTTTTATGATATCGCATAGGCAATTAACTGTGCCCTAATCTTTGAAGCACCTACAGCATAAATTCAGCTCTCTGGCTTTCGGTATCACGGTAATTTTTGTGTATAGTAACAATTGTCTAAAATTTTTGTATATGACAACACCGAATTTGCTGCAGTTTGACCAAACAAAATTAGTTTGCTGTGAGAGTCGCCAAACTCGCTCTCTCCGAGTGCATGAATTTACAGGAATTTACCAGAAAACGTTCCCGTACTCGGTTCTCTGGCTTCTCTTGCTTTTTGACAGTTATACAGGTTTTAACACAGAAAAATTGGGGAACGCAACTTTTGCTTTAGCTTTTTTCCTTGCTGCGTTTTTTGTAAATTCTAATGTATTTGCATGAAGTTTGGTATTTTAAAAGAAATATTGAACGAAATATTAAGATAACTACGTGAATTACGTATTTTATGTACTTCTTAGCAGTATAAAAAACTGCAAAAAGGTGTGAGGACCCCGGATCCTGTGGCCCTGGGCCTCACAACAACTTTATATACACATACATATATATCCTTTGTACTATTTACCCTGAATTGTTGATTTGAAATTGTATACACACATGTACAAATATATATATATGTACACTTATGTTTTGAATTATTATATATATGCGTATGTATGTACATAAGCTTATTGAATTGCATCTATTCGGATTATACTAGTACGTATGTATGTATCCACTAATATATTTTGAATTATTACTTTGTATGCACAGTATAAGAAATACCTACAACATACAATACCTACATAAAATGTATAAAGCACAAACAATTGTAATGAGGATAACTGTCTGCGGATGGACAAACATGGTATAAAAGGAGCAGTGCTAACAAGCATTGGTCATTAGCTAGGCATACGTGGCACGCGTCGCAACGTGGGTCACACGGGTAGTGGAAGAGGGATCAACCTCCGAGACTATTATTGTATATTCGAAGTGGGCTTTAACCACTGAGACTGGTGCTAGCTGTAGGGTTTAAACCTACCTAGTCCTATACTTTGGAGAGTGGATATAGCGAGAGTACAGCAAATAAAGAGGCTATAAACGAGAAGCGAGTGTGTTCTAATTTCACGAGGAGATAGGGTGTTTACGCCTTACAGGACTCTGGACAACCGAGAGCTACGCCCAGCACTCAGGAAAGTCCGTTACAAATGGCGCCCGAGCAGGGACACTAAAGGAAACGAAACATAAAGGAGAGTGCCGTGAAAAAAAAGTGAAGTGAAAAAAAAGTAAGAGAGAACACAAGTGATAGAGACACTGAGTTCAGCGACTACCCGAAATACCCAAATTTAAGAAGCGATAAGGGCACAAGTGAGAGAGACACAAAGTGCAGTGACCACCCGAAGAACTACTAGTGAAGAAACAGTGTGAAAAAAAACAATGGTGAAGAGAAAGTGGATACATTACCTCAACCGAGAGGAGCTGCTGACCTATATGGCAGAGTTCGGTCTCGAACAGACCGGAACAGTCGAAGAGCTGCGAAGACGCTTCTCTGCATTTATTCAAGAAGAGAGTAACAACGAGGACTACCAAACGCGGTTCGAAGAGCTAGTAGCGAAACACTCAAAGCCTGCGCTGAATGTTACCGCAGCAACACCAAGTGGAAGCCAGGGAGCCAGTGTCATGCAGTCACCAATGCCCGTTGACGCGTTTGAGACACCACAGCCATACGCAACGTATCCTATCGACATCGCTGGCAACCATCATGGACCGAGCTCGTAAGTGGGGTTTCAGATACGACGGCGGCCGAGACCCGCTCAGCTTCATCGAACGTGTAGAAGAATTGGCGGAAGTATACGAGGTGAATCGTGACTTGTTACCGCGAGCGATGCCAGAACTACTTAAGGAGAAGGCGTTGACATGGTTCCGCAGTAATAACCGGAATTGGCGACAATGGGAGGACTTCAAACGAGACTTTCTAAGGTTCTTCTTAAACTCTCGCTACCACGAAACCTTAGACGATGAGATCCGTCGTCTGCGTCCAACAACCGAACGAGAAATTTAAAGACTATGTGTTGGCCCTTCAGAGTTTGATGCGACACGCGAACTACACCTCAGAGCAGAAGCTGACGCGTATCTACAGAAACTCTAGAAGCGAGTTCCAATGGTACGTCAAACGATCCGAGTTCACCACCCTAGAAGGGCTAGTGAGTTTGGCGGAAGATATGGAAAATATCCCCCCGGTGAGAGAGCCACAGAGAGCCGCAGCGCGAACCACTCCGCGGGTCACGGAGAGATATCAGCACATGCGCGAACTGCCTAGGAGTGACGAGACGGCTAGAGCAGAGAGGACACAGCGCCGACCTGAACCACACAGCGGTGTGGCAACACCACAGACGGAGTACGTTAATCCGTGGACTGCGTGTAGACATTGCGGAGAAGAGGGCCATTTTGCGAGAGAGTGCAGAGCTGCACGGAGAGAGTTTTGTTGGACCTGTGGTGGATGCAATGTCCCGACTCGAGAGGGCTGCCGTAGTGCATCGGGAAACGGGTCGAGGTCCCATTTGCGGCGAGGAGTGGGGCGTCAGGTAGAACAGCCTCGCCCAAACTAAAGAGTGTCCTAAGGCAGTCGGATGGCCGAATTATGGCGGCGATTAGAGTAAACGAGGTCGACGTAGT